TTTTTTATAAATGAATATTGCTATGATGTTTTCCATGTTTTAGTTATTTATGTGTACACATTTATGTAATGATAAACATCATTAAGTTGGACCTAAAATAAACATAAGGTTTATTCATCAAATTTTAATAAATAAATATATAAGAGACGTAATATATTGTGATTCATGGTAGATAATACTCTCACTTAAAGGAACGATCATGATTTTTGTTTCATATTTTATTTGTGATGGAGTACTTGGACCAAGTGGGAAATTGTTAAAATAATTGTTATTAATGGTCTAAATTATTCCGAATCGATTGATGACTATTTTCAATTTTTAATTCAACTAGCCATTTTCAAATTTTGTTTAGCATTTAAAACTCACTATTACTTACTTTTAATTTCGGAAGTAAAAAATGCATATTTCTTAGTTTTAATTCATCTTTTTAAACTGAACTTTTAGTTTTTGCTATAATGGGTAGCAATTAATTCTGAATTTTAAAAATATTTTGAATCCCTAAGCCTTTCCCTCTACAAATTCTAAGATGAAAAAATATACACCATCATATTGAGAGTGAAGAGGTTTGAAGAATTCAAATTTAGTAAACACTACAGGAAAATCACCCATTTCCGACGGTCTTTTCCGGCGGTAATTGAACCTTTTCCGGTGGTTTTTTATTTTTTCGGCGGTTAAGTGACCGCCGATAAAAACGGCGTAGGAAAATAAATTCCGGCGGTTTTTACCGGCGGCAATTTATGCCGGCGGCTTTCCGGCGGTTTTTACCGGCGGCCTTAGGTGGTATGGTCACATAAAATGTGACCGCCGGAAAGCCGCCGGAAAATTCCGCCGGAAATCAGTGATTTTCCTGTAGTGAAAGAACACAATAGAATTTCAAAGGTTGCGTCTAGTTAAAAGTCAAATTCTCATTTAGATCTAATAAAAAAAGATCATTTCTAATATTTTCTAAGCAAGTCTTATTAGGTCTATCTCTACCTTTCTTAATATAGGTTAAATCCAATACATCTACTTTCCTAATTGGGTCATCTGAAGGCCACCATTTTATGTGACCATACCACCTAAGGCGACTCTCTCTAATCTTATTTGCCACTAGAGCTAATCCAACCTTTTCACGTATATGCTCCTTTCGTATCATGTCTCTAAGAGTAAAGCTAGCTACTCATCCACCTGAGCATCCTCTCCTCTGCAACACTTAACTTAATGTATATATGCTTCTCTTATAATGGCCAACATTATGCATCATAAAGCATTATAATTCTAACCACCATCTTATAGAATTTTTCCTTAAGTTTGAGTGATACTTTTCTAACACACAATATGCCCAAAGCATTCCTCTACTTAATCCACCCAACTTGAATTCTACTAACAAACATTTATTACTGAATTTGAAAAATATGTGTAGAATTGACATTAATTTTTCTTTCACTTTCACTTTGATGCTCACCTGATTATGACATATTAACCAAAACTAAGCATCACATACTCCAAAGTTCATTAAAAATATTTAAACTACACTTAAAATAGTGTACATGTCCTCTTCCCCATGCATTTTTTGACAGGCACTGTGATTATCTTGAGCTTTATTTTGGTTTAAGATATTAGAAGTTTTTTATTTTCCTTCTATATATTTATAACACTTCAGAATAAAATTAATGGGACATGATGGCAAAACAAAATTGGCTAATTAAAAATATTATGAGAAAAATTTACTTGAAAGGCACTAGTTTTCTAAGCTTAAGAAAAACACTATTTTTTTGCTTTAAAAAAATTGTCATGTAGAAATTGGTTTTATCAGTTGTTATCTTTCAAAATAAAAATAGATGCATTGCATGTTGACAAATATTTGCATATAAGAAATAAATTGTTATTGTTGAAAATTTACCAATATGTTTTCTAAAACTGATGGCACAAATCTCAAAACATATTTGAATTGAAAACTTCCAAAATTAAATATAGTACCATCCAAACTTTGATTTCAATAAACATATGGTCAAAATGAACATCTTTAGAAGACGAATCTAATGACATCATAAGTGGTCAAATCTAAGTTTAAATGAGCACAAATCAAACCCCTAAAGTATACTTGAAAACATAAGAATATTAATCAGAGAATCAAATCACCTCCAAATGTCGCATGCTTATCTACAAATCTAGTGTATAGATACATGAGACAAATCCAACAAGCCCAATATTGCTCAATTCCAACAATAGTAAGGCACTTAAATGTTGAATCAATGCTTTATATGACAAGAAGTCGATACGGACACTGCAATAGAGTGTTCTAAATTTTCACCATATATTTATAAGCATTCTACTCTCAATATTCTATAAATAGGCTCTCACTCTCTATATGAGGGGAGTTTGGAGCAGGATCTTAGTCTTTGGCATAAGATTCAAGAGAGCTTTAATGCTCTAAGTATCCCAAGCAACACCATCGAGCTATTGTCTAACTATCACCATTGAACCACCACCCAACTGAGATGATTGGATAATTACCAGATGAAAACATGACACCATCATTTGAAAAAAGCCCAACATTGTCATCAAATTATTACTCAAACTCTATCTCCCAACAGCCTCCCTTTAATCTCTATTGCACAAATATAAACCTTAGATCATCATTTCCAGACTACAGTTAGCCAACCTTCTTTGCATGACTATAGATCACTAAACTCTACCGTCCAACCATAGTACTCCTCCAATATCTATTGCCCAACAACAGCCCTCTAGCAAATGTATTTTAATTATGATCCTCTGATCATCATCACTAGATTGTGATACTCCGACCATCATCACTTGACAACGACAACGATCATTCGACCTCGTTCATCTAATTTTGGTCACCAAACACTGTACTCCAACTATGGCCCTTCTGACCACCATCACCAAAATATGATATATCCATTTGACTATCATTTCTTAAATACAATCCCATTGAACTTCATCATGATAATAGTCCTCTGACCACTATCACCCAACTACAGTCCTCTTACCATGTCTCCTAACAATAGATCATTGATCGATTATATATAGTCTTCTAAACTCTATTGTCCGATTATAATCCTATGAATACCATCATCCAACAATCATCCTCTAACTATAGTCATCTGACTATGATCCTTTATGCACATTCATTTAACTATGGTTCTTCTACCAATATTGTCTTACTATGGCCATCGAACCATCGTCACCCACTATGCTCGTCTAACCACCATCACCCAACTATGATTCTCTAGCTAATATCTATATATCGATTAATTTTATTTCTTTCAACCGCCATTATAGACATTGGCCCTTACTTTTAACCATCGTCGCCCGACTACGGACCTTTAACCTATAATCAATTGATTATAATCTCTACAACATCCATTGCCTCACTATAGTCCTTCAAATTTTGTCATCGACTATACTCTTACAAGTTACAACCATTATCGTCTAACTAAAGATCACTGACTACCTCACTTCACTACGATCCTCCATCCTTCGCCGCCTACTATAATCCTTTAACCATTGTCGCCTGACTATGTTGCTAGAATCACTATGGCACGACTACAATCCTTTGACCTTAATCAATCAACTATAGTCCTTCTCAATGCCTGACTTGGATCCTTTCAGGCACTATAGTCCGACTATGGTCCCTTTAACCTCTATCACCCAACTATTGTTGTCCGACCTCTTCCACTTGATACCGTCTTCTGACCCCGTTGCTTTATTACCACCCTTTAACCACTACAGCTCGATTATGGTCCTTTAACTTTTGTAACTTTACTAACGGTCCTTCAATCTCTGTCAATTGATTATAATCCTTTCAACCTCCATAGCCTAACTATGGTCCTTTGGACCACCATTACCTAACTATGATTTCTTTGACATTTGTGGTCTGAATTCAGTTGCTTCGACCTCCATCGCTTGATTATGATCCCTAATTATGCTTCTTTACCCTACAAACTCTAACAATTATCATGTATATACTCCAATGTCTGTTGACCTTATCACTAACTATTACTAATCATGCAAATACACATCATCACTAATAATATTGATACACATCATTGACATTAATTCTGACTCCTGACTTTAACACTAGGATTTATACTAAAATTTTGCCACATACTTCTTCCAAGTACAACGAACTAAAATGTTGTTTATAGTGTAACAATTCCTTTCGTCATGGAATGTCTTCATTTGTAATCAATAAAAAATAATAGTGGAGTCATTCTAACTAGGTCATACCCTTATGTTTTTTTTTTCTTGGGTTTTTTAAATCAAAACTTAGGTTTCATTTATAATTCTTCCATTCATTTCTTATAATATTCGTGTGTGTTGAATCTTTGTGCAAAATTATAACATTAAACTCAATATCTCTCTACCATTGTAAATATTTCGACATGTAATAAGTAGATTACAAAAAAAATTTATAAAAAAATTATTCCTTATAACTAAAACTTTAGTCATACTAGAAAACGAAAAAAAAAAAAAGTTGCCGTGATGTGTTTTAAAGCCTCAATTTGCTTTAAGATTTGTACAACATTATTTTAAAATATATGCTTTTATATTAAGAAATCCTAGCATAATATTTTATGCTTTTACATAAGTCTATAGTAATGCATATTTTGTAATAGAATGTCCTATGATATATATTTTTTTCAAAAATCTAACCGTTATTTAATTTTTTTGATTTTTTCCGTTTATTCACTCATCAAGTCACACTATATTTTTTTTTTCCTTTCATCTTTATAGAAATGCACTCCTGCTCATCTTGCCCTCTCTCGCAAAAGGCCGAAAAGATTCCACTCGGTCGTCGCCCTCACCAATAGGCTTTCTTTGGCCATTTCCTTCACAGTGCTCACTCTTCCCCTACCTCACCTCCACTAATCTTACCTCTTATTTTGTCCTCTACCGTCCCCTTTCTTTACAAATACCCCACCACACTCTTCGCCTTCCAAGTACTTTCTCTCTCTCTCTCTCTTTATCTCCCACCTCACCCAACCTCTCTCTCTCTCTCTCTCTCTCTCTTCAACCCACGAGTTTCCTCCCATGGACTCAAAGCCCACTTCTTCGGATCTTCTCATCCCTCCCCCACAAGAACTTCCCACAAACACAGAGAAAGAGTACTTCAGCGAAGACAAAAGTAGCAGTATCATCATCTTCGACTCCTCTCAACTCTGCAACCAATCTTCAATACCAAGCCAGTTCTTCTGGCCACAGACCGACCTGTCGTGCTCATGCAAACAGCTAAAAGCTCCCATCATCGACCTCAACGGCTTCTTAACCGGAGACGAATCTTCCACAAAGACTGCAATCGATCTTGTCCACTCAGCTTGCTCAGATCATGGTTTCTTCCAAGTTATAAACCATGGCGTCGACTCTTCTCTCATGCAAGATGCCTTGAATTGCATTGATGAGTTTTTCAGGCTTCCTCTCGCAGAGAAATTAAAGGCTAGAAGAAAAGGTCAGAGCAAGTGGGGCTATGCTGGTGCTCATACTGACCGTTTCACTGATAAGTTGCCATGGAAGGAAACCCTCTCTTTTGGTTATGATAGTGTGGCTTCACAATCCGTCTTTGTTGACTACTTAACATCCACTTTTGGGAACGGCTTCAAGGAAATGGGGTAAGAAGATGGATGAGATCCTCTTTTCTCGTGAAGTGGATGCTATAATATTTAGCCCACGCACGTTGAATTTTATTGCAAGATTTTAATAATCTATGAAGATATGACAAAAGAGAATTAATTTATGATGCTTTCATCCATTAAATCCATGCATTATATCATGAATTTAAAAGAAATTAAGTATAAAATGTAAGCGTAAAAATTACCTCTCATAATAAAAGTATCATTTTTATTTGGAAAATTCTCCTAATTTGATAGGTTTTACTTATTATCATGAATAAAACGTAGTTCACACTTGTAGAATTCTTTAGAAAACATTCTTCATTCCAAAACAATTCGGTCATAGCTTGAAAAGAAGAATGTTGTGCAACCTAAAAACTTTTTACTTATTGATAAATAACATAAAATAAAATAAATAAAAGAGCATTACTTTAAATGATCGTGTTACTCCGCCGCTTTTTCGGCACATACATGTCCGCCGGAAAATCCGACGGCAATGACAAGTTTTTCTGTAATGATTTAGTACTCAGGAACAAGTCTCACAATAGAACAAAATTGCTGAAACGTGATGAAGTAACCTAGACGCATATGCATGAGCAAAATTCTCACTGAGAATGTCAGTTTTGCACGCAGCTCATCTTGATCTTTTGGTTGAGAGCTTTGACTATCAACCAAGAGGTATTGGGTTCGAGTCTTGCATATGTACGTAATGTGTATGAATTTTCCTTAATTGCTCTAAATATCCAAAAACAAAAGAAAAATGTCAGTTTTGGCAATAATAACATGCATGCAGATGAACTAATTAATAACGTAATTCTTGTGGGAACCCATAGGATGGTGTATCAGAGATACTGCGATGCAATGACGAAGCTATCCCTATCGATCATGGAGCTTCTAGGCAAAAGCCTGGGAGTTGATGGTGGGCACTATCGGGAGTTCTTCGCAGAAAGCACCTCCATATTGAGATGCAATTACTACCCTCCATGCCAGGAGCCAGAGCTCACTTTCGGTACCGGCCCGCATTGCGACCCCACTTCCCTAACAATCCTTCTACAGCAGGATGAAGTGGACGGTCTCCAGGTTTTCTCCGACGGTGAATGGCGGGTGGTGAGGCCGGTGCCCGGCGCACTTGTCATCAACATCGGCGACACCTTCATGGTATTCATCTTCATATCCACGTCTGCACGTTTGCTTATATATATGGCTGATTAGTTATTCAAATATATTAATATAGTATTGTAAGAAAATAAATAGAAACTAGAAAGTGAGTTAAAGCTGACAAGTAATTCGAAGAAATTAGCATAAAAGTAGAATATTCACATTCTAATTAAAAAATATTTTGTGGGCCTTTGGTAGAAATGATACTATATATTTTTTCTAATAAATTTTTTAAGAGTATATTCTTCACCTTATAAATTCATATAAAATAATTAATTTCCCCTAATTCATATGAGTAATCATTCTCCTTTCACTAAAGTTTTTTTCTTTTCTTCTTAGTTTTCATTTGGATGAACTCGGGGGTGGGGGGGCCATACGTACATATAGTCCCCTAGTGTCTTTATAGGGAGCTGGGTGTTTGTTTGTTTTGTGAGAACAAGTTAAGTGACCATTTGGATCCAATACCTTATTCTAGAGCAACACTTTGGACAACTTTTTTTTGTTGTTGCAATTTTATTCATGTAGCTGGCTTCCAGATCTTGAGACTTTTCTTGTCAGTTTGCTTCAACTAGCTAGGTTGTCGTGTTCTTCTCCTCGGCAACTTGGACAAAACGTTTTCCAAGAAATTCCTCATGGTAATATTACAAGATATTTTATTAGTAATAGTATTATCATATGCAAGTTGAAAGAAAAAATTTATGAACAAGCCTTTTATTGCTAATTATTGTGAAATAAACTGAAAAAAGATAGCAAAATTCAAAAAGAAAAGAAAAGAAGGTGCTGCTATGTGTGTTTATCTCCAAATATATTTTAATATTTGATATAAATCTTCTTATGCAATTCATGAAAAAACAAACTATATTATCTATATAGTTTGTTACAGATAAAAATATTACTTATGATATGTTACAGATAAAAATATTTGCATATACAAAACTATCATGAGCTGGTTTCACATTTATAAGCATACAATTAAAAGTAATATTGAAAATATATTATCATGAGCTGGTTTCTGTGAAAAGGTAAGCTTGGTACGATACTTTTTGCAATTGAAGTCCAGCTCATAAAATTTTTACAAGGAATTTATTGAATGAAGTTTATCCAGACAACTTGCATCCACCATGAAAATAGTTATTGAAGGCCAAACTACAAATCACCCACCCTGGTGTGGGTAGGGCCCCTACAGGAGCTGCTCTTGGAACAAGCTTCGTGAGAGGTTCAAGGTAGGTGTAGGCTCATTTAGTGCCTTCATGAGCTGTTTTTAGGGGATTTCTAAAAGATTTGAAAGATATCTTGGAGGATTCTATCTAAATAATACGACAAATAAATGTTTCATGGTTGAGGATACTTCCATTTATTCAGGTTCCTTTACCATGAGATTTAGGGAAAATTTCTTAACATTAATGGAGAAAGTATATAAGTAGAAAAAGGCCGATTTTTATTTTCTTACAAAGGAAAATTTGAAGATTCTCAACATCTTTATAGCATATCAGATGTGTTCATTACATTCATAAATAAAAAATATATTATTTCATAGTATATTTATTACAAACAAAATGTTATCTAATTAAGGCTTTGGTTTGAACAGCTTTTTTTTTGCTTTTTAAAGTAGTTTTTTAGTATAAAAAATTTTTGAATTAGAAATTATTGTACTAGAAAGTTTCTTTAGAAAGTATTGAGAAAGATGCCCCAAATGAAGTCTAAGATTTCGTTTGGGATAATTTTTTTTTTTTGTTTTGTTTTTCAAATCATAATTATGATTTCTATTTTGTCACTACTTTTTTACTATTTAAAAAAAAAATAACAAAAAATTGCTTTTGTAATAACTTTAAAAATTTACTTTCTCCATAACAATTTATAAAATTTCAGCTGTAAAAACTTTACAAAACAATAAAAAAAAAAAAGTCTCAATCAAGGCCTAAAACTATTTTCAACCTTGTGGAGTATATAAAATTAGAATATATGTAATATTTTGAACACCATGCTAATATCCTACAGAGAAACATTGTTGGATAGTGTTCATATAATTATGCCTCTAAAACTATTAGCGATGGTTAACTAATGACCACATATCGAATTAAAAAGTTAGAAATTCAATAAAAAAATGATCGCTTTATGCACTAATAATCAGTATATTAAAGCAAATTAAGAAAAAAAAAAGTATCAGATCATTTTTACCTGAGATCTAACTGTCCCCCTTTCTCCTTCCAATATTAAATATATCTTACATGCAGGCTCTATCAAATGGTAGATATAAGAGTTGCTTACACAGAGCAGTGGTGAACAAAGTGAAAGAACGGAGGTCGCTTGTCTTCTTCCTCTGTCCAAGAGAAAACAAGGTAGTTAGTCCCCCGGATTGCCTTGTGGACGAAGAACATCCGAGGAAGTACCCCGACTTCACATGGGCCGACTTATTCGACTTCACACAGACTCATTATAGAGCCGACATGCAAACCCTACAAGCATTTGCCAACTGGCTTCTCTCCTCTTCTACTTCTTCTAGCTCTTCTCGCCACCATTGCCATGGATGATATATGCTGCCCTCTTCAAAATATGATGATTAGACCACAATCTTCTTCTTTTTCTTCTTATTCTTCTGATTTCCATGCTGTTACCTTCAAGTCTCCTCTGTACATACTTCGGGGTTTTAATCATCAGTAATGCTTCAGTCATTCAAGTTTTAGTTTGAAGCTGGTTCAAAGCATATCAGATATGAAAATGAACTGCAGATATTCATGATTTGTGTGAGTAAAGCATTGCTGTTTAATCATATAAAAGTGTCCGAGCAAATGATGGCAATGGGGACAGGATGTGTGATGATTTCTTTACATGTTGTCCACTAGTTTCTCTGGATTTTTTTTTTTTTTTTTACTTTCTTGTAACTGTGTAAATGTGTATAAATATATATATCTGGATCAGGGACCTTTTATCTTTTTAAGGGGACAATCAGAATTTTTCTTTCTATCAGAGCTCAAATTAACGGACTTTTCAAATAATAGGTAGAAATAGTTTATTTATTGGCTTTATTACAATTAATATCATATACTATTTCAATTTTAGCAAACTTGAAGTTAAGGCAAATTGATTTACTTAGATGAAACCAACAGCATTAAGAATGACTTGTACTATACAAAAAAATCACTCATTACCGGTGTATTTTTTGGGTGGAAATCTCTAATATTTTGGAAAAAAATTTCCCGGTAAAAGTCGCATAGGAAATTAAATGCGACGGCATTTTTTCGCCGAAAAGTATTTCCAACGGATTTCCGGCAATTTTTCAACTAATTTAAGTTTTGTTGAGAGCGGTGAACGGAGCTATGGAAAACATGCAATCGCTGTCAGAAAGTTTCGATGGCATTACCGGAAGTTGGTACCAAACCACTAGAGACGTACGCAGAAAAAGCCTTTCCGGTTGGTTTTCACCCTTTTCGATCGCATTTTGTTGTGTCGCCCCGTATAGAAAGTTTTAAATAGAAATTTCAGCAAAAATCCGTCGAAAACATGTGGCACTACAAAACAAAAAAAGGCAATCCCTTATTGTTCCATTGCAATATTTACATGATAAACCTGCAACAATTAACAGATGGATACACAACAATATATATGGTCATACAATATTGATATTCAAGACATTATAAAACCATTAAAAGGGTAAATCTAACAACTTAGAAATTCAATCGTTCAACATAAAACCTGTTTAAATAAGTTTTCAAAACACAAGACTAAATTCTCCAAACTACTATAATAACTTAAACAAAACAATAAGTGGTTAAAATAAGTTATTCAAACTATTATAACAACTTAAACATGAAGTTTTCTAATCATCTTCCGTCTCGTCGCTGCCCTTTAATTCATGCTCAGGCTGCTAACCCTTTTTTCTTTTGATGTTCACTTAGATATGATCACAGCTCTATTTACATCTCAGTTTGTTGTATCAATATGTTGGCATGTATATATTTCATCTCTTCTATCTCTTTGGTGAGAGTAGCAACTCTCTGGCTGGAGATATCATCAACTACACTATCACCAAAAGATTTTAAGGTGGGTGTATTGGTCTCATATGCATTTTCCTGAGAGACTAATCCATACACCCTCCCCTTATGTCTCCCTCCACCAGCTTGTGATCAAGTATGGTACTTAGAGTACCGCATCAATCATGAATATGATCTCTCAGTAGTAAAACCATGACTCTCCAGAAGTCGTACAAAATCATCCTACGAGATACTAAGTCCATAAAAATCTATTTCTATTTGCATATTATTTATGATTACTACTAAAAAATTAATAGTCACATGAGTTGTTTTCGCCTTCTCATCAATCCACATATGATCAATTTGATGTTCATGAGTTCTTGTATGTAGCTCTAATGATTTTAACTCCAAACCAAGTACCTCTTTCTGCAATAAAGAGCATAGATAAAATAATATAATATATTTGTGAATTTAAAGTACTCATTTATCAACCAACGTCTATGCTCAGTATAATATAGTGAACCACCTATGTGAAAAGAGCTTGCTAAACCCCCATAGTTGGATGCTATATTTTTTCTTGTTTTACTCTCTCATCTTAGTAAACTAGGGGCTATGGTAAACACCAGCTATTTTTTAGTCAATATTCGATGATTTTCTTGTAGTGTTGTCCCAATCTTTAATTGGCTTAAATCAATAATACAATAATTGGCTTAAATCAATAATACAAAACAACTTGTAAATGTAAATATTTTAGATACTTGTATAACTAGATTGAGTTGTTTAGTATGACCATGAGTTGTAAAATATTTCAAAAAAATTATTTATAAACACTTGTAGGTTCCAAAAGAAAATGATCATTCTTCTTTTGAACGTCATTGTCTTTTGGAATTCTATAGAAAATCTAGAATCCTTAAGATTGAAGATTTAATTAAACAATCATATATTCAAATTTACATTATATAGGAATAGAAATCCAAATTTGTTGGTAAAATATGGCCACCTTTACTTTACAAAAACTCTTAGTTGTACTCTAAGAAATCATCAATAAATAAAAGCTTTTTATTTATGCATTATTGGTCATGCATCATTTTATTGAGTAATCTTATACATATTGTAAACTCTTGATTAAAATCTTCTAAATTATAATTCTTTGATTTCTATGATAGACATGATCCAATCTTGCATTCTTGAGGCGATTATTTGTACTTAGGATTATTAGCTGACAACTCATTCTAAGCATGTATAAGCCTACATTGTATACACCCCACAATCTCTGCACATTCCTTCTGTTATATCCCTCAAAAAATTCATAATATGAAGTCAAAATCTAAACTCCAAATCCAAGATAAAAATTTACAATCTCAAGCATGTATATTGAAATCTTGATATTGCCCAAGTCTTTATTTAAATCTATATGAATTTGAAAATTTATTTATTTTTTATTTTAATTGAAAGTATTCTTTTCAAAGATATAATTAACTATGAGAACTTATCCTTATAGGAAGTCTAGAACCACTATTAATATAAATCCTATCTTAGTATTTTTCTAAAAATATGTGAAGAATCTATGGACGCAAACCTAGCTTTAAATATTGATTTAGTTTTATAATAAAAATGATAAGTGAATATTTTTTTTTTTTATCTTTAAGGATGAATTGAATTTTTCTTAGTTTGCTCGATTTTGAAAATAAATACATTGATTTAGTATCATAATTAAAATGATAAGTGAATCTTCCTTTTATACTTCGGAATGGATTGAATATTCTTTATGTTGCATTTGATTATGAAAATAAATAGAGTTTATATTTTCAAATCAGTTGTGAAATATTAATCTGTCTTTCGGGATGGTATAATATTAATCTATGCATATTTGATTAAAGAAATATTTAAAATGAATCATGTAGCAAATGAAATAAAAAAAAAATAAAATTTGTCCATAAAGAATAATATATTATTATATTTTTCTTACGTGCGGTGAAATATTAATAATTCTTAAAAAAATATGACTTCAATAATATTACTATCATACAAAATTTCTCTCATGCAAAATACTAAAAAACATGAGATTTAAATCCCTGACTCATTAATTAATCATATAAAAATATTAAGTGAAAGCTTAAATACATACTTCATACTTGAAGGATGCGATCATAGTTTTCCAAAGCATGTATAAAGCTGACCATACTGTTCAAAACTTACTTGCAACTCCCATGCATCGTTAACTAATAATGATAAAGCGGCTGTTTTGTTAGAAGGACAACGAATATAAAGTATTCATTTTTTAGGGTTTTAAAAATATTATTGTTTAGTTTGATGAAAATAATAATAATAATAATATAAAGTATTCTAAATATAAAAAAGTGTTCAAAGTTCATTTTGCATACTGTTCAAAACTTACTTGCAACTCCCATGCATCGTTAACTAATAATGATAAAGCGGCTGTTTTGTTAGAAGGACAACGAATATAAAGTATTCATTTTTTAGGGTTTTAAAAATATTATTGTTTAGTTTGATGAAAATAATAATAATAATAATATAAAGTATTCTAAATATAACAAAGTGTTCGAAGTTCATTTTGAGTGAAAATTATTTTTACGATAATCAAACTATCTTGTCACCACCCTCACTGGCCACCACCACTGATGCCACTGCCTCCATTTAGGGGTGTCAATATTTGACACGACACGAAAATCCAATCCGGAATTTTCGGGTTAGACCAGACCCATTTCCCGAATTCGATGCATTTGAAAAAATGGCTCGGGTTGACCTAACGGGTTAACGGGTCAACCCGGAAACCCGTTTGAACCCCTGCCTTCGCTACTACCAGCTCGCTCTCGCGGCTGGCCGTTCGCCTGCCCTGCTGCCCGCAATCCC